GTGGCCATGAACATGCCTCCTCGTCATGTCCTAGCCTAAATGGTGAAATTTTCCAATGTTTGAGCGACGGTTTTTCCGAAAATTGAGGAGGTAGAGGGAAAATCTCTTCACTGTTGTAGAGTACGCTTACTTGTGTGTAGGAGTAAGATCACAACACTTGCTTGCAGATGACCGCTCCCTGCGTGCTGTGGCCATGAACATGCCTCCTCGTCATGCCCTAGCCTATTTGGTGAAATTTTCCAATGTTTGAGCGAAGGTTTTTCCGAAACTGAGGAGGTAGAGGGAAAATCTCTTCACTGTTGTAGAGTACGCTTACTTGAGTGTAGAAATAAGATGACATACTTGCTTGTAGACGAGCGCTTCCGCCGTGCTGTGGCTGTGAAAATGCCTCCTCGTCATGCCCTTGTGGAAAGATCAGATTTTTTGCATTTCCAGATGAACTCGCAGACCTGAAATGTGCCCCGTTAGCTTCCCCGTGAAAAATGCTATCGAATGATATGCATTACTTCCCCAGTTGAAACTTTGGTTTTTCACCGTTTTCAGCCTTCCCCTATTGCCGATTTCACTATCCCACGATTACTGCCCCAAAATCTCAAAGTTTCATTTTTCGTCGAAACTTTGCCTATTGGGGTAATTCGATGCCCTGATTACGGACATGTTATTCATTTCTGGTGCTGTACTGCCCGGGTTGGTCCTGTGAGCGATTCTCTTTATAGTCCAGCTCCTCCTGTACTTGGAGTGCACAAGCTGCCGTTCCGTTGCGGTAGTTCAACGGTGTGGTGCGTCCCGAATTCAATTTTGGCGCAAGAGAGCATTCTGGTTATCTCGAATTTGTCGCGTTGGTTCGTGTGTAGTGTCGTTATGAGAATTCGGCTTTGCAAAATATTTAAACCACCTCTGTTCCGTAAATCTGAAACAGACCATGATCTGCCCGCTCGTGCGCTCGCGCGATCTCTTATGGATAAAAAAACTGCCTGCGCTAGTTTTTTCTAGCGGCACTACAGCACTACCCTGGATTGCGCCATGCACTCAATTTTCATCTCAAAAAGTAGTTGCTCGCATGTGGTGTGTATCTAATCCCGCTTATGCGAGCTGACCGCCACACAGAAAGAAGGGTCTCAAAACATACCCCAGGATGCGCCACGTACTCAATCTCATCCACTACATTGTGAGATTAGATGAATGTTATTTTCCGAATTCTTAGATCTTCATTTCGTTTTTAAGCGCTTACTGGCTTTACGTGTTCCCTCTGCTCTCAATATCCCATCCTCTGTATATCAAGTGGAATCTTTGAACAGTTCTCAGCAGGCATAGTGGGCCTATTATGTGACATTTTCCATTTTCAGAGGAGATGTTTTGCAGAAAGCTATGAAGATAGCGAGGAATTATCTTCACCAGCGTAGACTACGGTGACTCTTCTGTAGGAACTGCATGAAAACCTTGGTCGAAGATGAGCGTTCCTGACAAGAGTCTACTCCCCGGGGTTCAGTCTCTATGTATGCTATACGAAGTTATTCCTATGTTGCTACAAGTAGCAACGGGGGGTCGTATTTTGATGAGTTTGTAGAGGGGGGTCGTACTTGCTTCGTTGTAAGAAGTTGCATGTGATGAGGGGAGCGGCGCGGGAGAAAATTTGCCGTTTCAAGCGCGCGTATATACCCCTGCTTCGAACAGTAGCAACGACGGCCCCCGACCTGGTTGGGGGCCGTAAGGACACCCGTACCGACTGTATGTCCTGAATCATTTAAAATGTATGCGATATTCTAAATTTCACAGTGAAGTCCGGCGTTTATAACGGTGTTAAAAAGTTGCTCAGTGCCTGTGCTGTGTGCTCAGCTCATGCTAGAGCAGAATCTCCTAAAGCTATATCTCTTCACAGTTCCGACTCCTAAGTGTTTTCCAAGGCTAATTCACTTCGTTTGGGGAAACTGCACATATAGGATTATACTATGATCGAGGACTTCAGCAAAGGATTCTCAAATACTGGTTTGAGGGAGAGGTAGAGACATCTGCTGTCATGAGCTAGCCTGCAGATCCACATTCATGGAGCTCAGAAGTTTCAAAGATGGCAGTCCGCCCTCGATCGGCCTGTGGGGTCCCGTTTGGTGATTTCGTACCGTTAACGTTGTTAATTACCGTTCAAAAACGCAACGGACGAAATTCTATTTCACACCGACTACGCCTTCATTTCATTCATGATTTTCTCGCGAAAATGACTGATATCAAACTCTACTCCAGGTACGGCTCCGTAAAAGATGGTGTACAGAATGCGTAGACGCGCCTTTGCGCGAACCTGTAGATATACTGTAGGTACAACAGCCTGCATAAGAATTACTGTAGAATGTGTTTTTATCATTCTATCAAAATATTGAAGCTATGCAGTGGTAAATAGGTTAACTGTGATCGCTGGCAAATCACTAGGAATCCCTTGATCTGCGATAGTTGATCGAATTGGGAAAGTGCTGGGTCGTCACTCCCAGACCACTTGCCCATCAAATTTTCGTTTTCATTAATAATGGTGATCGTTTATTGCGAAGTTTCATTGTCGATACATCACTTCATGTCTTTTCCTGGCATTTCATTGAAATTCCCGCGTGATGAACAGCCATAAGGCCTAAGGGTGCTAAGCAAGTAGGGTAAGTACGCCGCATTTTCTGAACAGAAATGTACGTCAATGGGAGTGCTGCCCGCTGTTATAGAAGGTCTGCATGACTCGATGGGGAACTGTAAGGCTGGTGTCAGCGCGATCCGTCGCAGGTTTCGCTGATTTTCGCGATTTGCGCGATTCACGCGACGGGTCACGGAAATCACAAGTGCCCGATCAATACTGCAAGGTGTTCTCCAATCCTGCCGCCACTTCTGCTTGATAGTGATGGCTGAATGACGACTGCTAATCATAATATCCACTTGTTTCATATTCAGTGTTTCAAATGTTAAAAACCCTTGCGAAGTTTTTAGTGCATCCGTCGCTCAATCGTGCAAATCGCGCAAATCGCGAAAATCAGCGAAACCTGCGACGGATTGCGGACTCTGACACTAGCCTAAGCCAGGGAGAGTGTGCCCAACCTAGGGGGTGGGGGTGACGACAGTCACTTGACATGCGTGAAAAGCTAGGCGTGCCCACCGCACTTGTATAGAGCCGGCCTAAGGTGCCTTTCACACAGCCCAAGTTTGTAAAGTGGTGCTACCCCATTTGTACCTCGCACCATCAAATAGCATTGATGACAATTTCGCCTTTTCATTTCATCCTGTACGAACGATTTGATTTGATCCTAATTTTGTCTTGGTTTGTGCCTGATTCGTGCGTCGACTACTTCAAAGTAGTGTTTTTTGAATCTAGCGAAAATTCAGACGGTTTCGGTAAAATTGGCAGCCGGATGGTAACTTTCAGCCCAATTTATTGAACAGGGGTAGTTGTGACTCTTTTTAAGGATTAGTGACGGTTGCATGACACTGAAATTTCGCACATTGTTTGGCTGCCTCTCGGATTATTCTGGTGTCGAGCTTTCATGCCCCCTAACTTTAAGCCTGAGAATGGGAGGGGAAACGAGGGGTTTTTAGCGAGAGCGAAACTATGTCTTTACGCTTTAATATTGTCTACTCGCATCGCTACGCTTATTGCTGCCAGTTATCATAAGCTTTCACGGCGTACCACGTTATTATGAAAATCGGACGGCAACCTATCTTTGTAAACAACGTTAGAGATCGCGCATGTTTTACGTTTTTCGCATTTAGTCTGACCATTCGAGGACTATCAGTGGAATTTTTAAGAATGTTAATTAGAGCACAAAATGAAGAACAAAAACCAATTTGGTGAATTGTGTTAGACAGCGAAATTTGTATTGATTGAAATGGGAAAGGAAGGAAATCAAATGCAGGAAAACTGCAGTGCAATGGCCTCCTACAATATATGACTCAAGTCGTACACAAACCGTTTGACTGACTGTAGCCCACATTTGGCTGCATGGCTCCAAACTGTTAGACGATTGGCTACCTCACTCTGAGCCTAGTTTTGCACTCGTCTGTGCAGTAATAATATGGAACCATATGTGCTATCTGAATTATTTGTCTAGGACGAACTCAAAGCTTCTCCTTTTCGCGGCCTGTCCAAACTTTATAAGTATTTTCCGCGAAGTTCTCTGAGACGGCTTGCATCCGGACAACCTTTCCGTTCAATACGTTCGAACGGGGGGGGGGGGTCGCATTTGTGTTCTGGGAGGGGAGAGGGTCGCATTGCGCAGTTCTGCTGGTTACGTTTGGTCATCAGGGGCGCAGGGCATAGGCGCGTGCGAAAAAAGTTGCCGTTTCACTGGTTGTATATATACCCCCTCCGTCAACTGGTCTCATTGCCAGAATCAAATACGATAGAAGAGGGAGAGGTCGCGGTGGGGGAAGGCTGGTTGTATGGGGGGGGGATCGCAAAAATCCCGAAAATGTTCGAACTTCGGTTTTTTAATTCGGTTTAACCGTCACGGTTGACCCTGCTTGCATCATTTTTTAGCGTGAAATAGTCTGGAACGTAATAACTTAAGTCAGCAAGGAGCCTCTGTACCCTACCATATACGATAACTTGCATAACAATAAGTACTATTGTCGCATCCGTTGCCTAGAGAGAGCGTGTGTGGCGGAAATAATGCTACGATAAAGGTGCACAAATCCACAAATAAGTAACTTTAAACATTCCGAGTGAATAAGCGGACGCGTAAGAGCGTCGCACCCTAATTCTTTACAGAGTATCGTGAGGAGGATTTTTCAGTTTTCCAAGGAGTATTTAGTCTCCTGCATGCGGTTAAAACATCTCCGATTTCAGCGTCTGTCACAAATTGAGACAATTAATTTAATATCGGACTTTCAGTTCATTCCTTTTCGCCCGATTTCCCCCCCGTTGATAAGTGGCGGATAAATAGTCACAGTAACCCTCGTTGATCATGCGAGGACACTGGCTGGCGCTCAGTTCATCACGACAAATCGAGAATCCATTCGTCGACAAAAGAGTGGGACCAGCATTCACTCGAGTTTTCGGTCAACCGAATGACGCCACTTATCGAGTCGCCAATGGTGAGACTAAATGGTCGCGTATAGGTTTAAAAAATTTTCTATGAGTTTATACTGCTTCCCAAATGCTTGCGATGAAGCTTCTAGCGATAATGGCTCGTAAGTGCCGCGGCCCGTATGCTTTGTCCAAGGACATCGAGCGCTCCGTCCCATGTATTCGCTAGATAAGCGCGTCATCCTGAAAGATTTAGCTAGAGCTACGTCTCTCCAGGACGGTAAACGCCTTGATTTCAAATGCATAAAGGCAGCGATTACCATATTTCAAGAAAGGTTCAGAGAAGCCGTGGTGTGCTCAATGGTACGCCAGTGGCGAAAAAAGCGGAGAAATCCGTCAAGAAAACGCAAAACGGGACCTTTTTTTGGCCACATGAACAGGTAACAGCTCAGAAAGCGGACGTATGAACGAGTTCACCGCAACGCGTTTGGTGGCACCATGCCAAACCACGCTCCAATCGAGTTGCTCCAGTTGTGCCGCTGCTGGCAACGCAGCTCGTCCAAATCAACTAGTGGGCGGATCGCTTTTGGGGGCGGAGTGCTTTCGAAGTCCTGCTCAGCAACCAGCGCACCTTTCGTCGTGAAAGCGCCACACCTCGCTTCCTTGGCAGCCAAGTAACTGATTCGTGTGGTGCATATGCTTCCCGATGCGCTCCCTCTTTATCGTAATCGCTGCCTTTAAGGTCTCGCAATTAGCAGGTTTGCCTCTCATTCAAATGTCTGCGTGATTTCCGAATAAGGTGTAATCCACGACCTCCCATTTAGCTTCCATTCCTTTGTCTCCTCGTTCAGATAGCTAGTGGTGTCAAATCATGAGCTCTAGAAGTTGAAAGCTTGAGAGAAATGGGTAGACATTGATCTTTTCAATTGTCCGATTCAGCATTTCGTTCCCTCTAAACAAAATCTGTTGGAGATAGATTACTCGAAAACGTTTAGGTCAAAAGCATGCATACATCGTGTTCATGCGAGTCCTTTGCACTCTTCAAGAACGATGGATGGCTGAACGGAAAGCACGAAAGTCCATACGCTTTGAAACGGATCCAGAATGGCAGCCTGACGATCGGGTCGTTCTCTTCCAAGAATTCTACAAAGGTTCGCAAATAATTTTTCATTACTCTATTTCACATTCACAAGACTACAATGCAGCGTAATGCGATCCTCCACGTTTCACCAGAGGGAGGACTGACGGATAGAGAACTGATTGTAGTCCTGTTCAGCTGTTCTCAGAAATACTATTACATAGTTAGATTTTTGAATTATTATAACTGCTGTTTTACGCCGCAGTTCGCGTTGCGAAAGTTATCACAAGAATGCTGAGTTGTGGGCAAAACTTTCGCCCCAGCCGGGATTCGTAATCGGATCTCTTACTTTCCGGGTACCATTTCACCCAAACTCGGCCTTGTGTTGTTTGCGCGCAACTCACAAGGAATGGTCAATTGGTCGGTCCGGCCATTTGTAATGAGGTGTAGTCCGATGCACGCGTCTTGCGACGCTGAGCTCAAATCCGTTTTCGGTTTTTGCCGAACGATTCTCTGAACGAAGTTACGAGGGATTCTTCTCACTGTGGCTATCTCACTGTGGCGCCTCTGAGTCTGGTGGTCTAGTGGATAGCGCTCTTGCTTTATAGGAGTGGAGTCGTATGTTCGAGTCCTTGTCCGCAGCAAACTTTTGCATTTTGT